GATTTTTGGTCAGTTTTATCAGTTAAAAGTTGATTTTTGGTCAGTTTGATCAGTTTAAAGTTGATTTCTTTTGTGGGGGGTGTTTTTTTGTGCATCCAAGTTGATTTAAATCTAAAAGTAATTTATGTCTTGTTAAAGTGTAAAGTGAGTTTTGTGTTTGTTAGATTTGCTTTGTTCTGTTTATTTTGAGTGAATTTTGTCTCTTTGAGGATAAATGTTTCAGAATTGATTTGTGACGTGCACGGACAGGTCACGTGACCTGAGTTCAGCTGGAAGAATGGACTTCCTTCCCTCCTGATGTTTTGTTCAGGTTCCTCTGCGGTGAAGACTCGGGATGTTTTCCTGGTTTGGGGCTGATCTCAGAGCAGCCACAGCAGCGGTTCAGTGGGTTTGTTTGTAGACGGTCGGCACGCGCGGCTCCTGACTCACTTCCTGTTTCTGTGGCCATAAATACACCTGACGAATGTGCAGAAGACGACGCTTGGAAGGGTTCGGGTCCTGAGAGTCTGCGGCTCACCTCCCGTCACCTTTCGCCACATTCAGACAGAAAGCGAACTTTGACCTCCTCTGTTTGAAGCTTTAGTGGAAAAACACCGACGGTGCAGCAAAGAACTATCAGAAGCCACGAACGGACAGAACCCGTGTACGTTTAGATCCATTTACATCAACGTGCAGGGGAACACAGGAAGTCCACAACATTAAACTTACTGATTCACCCTCCTGCTGCCCTTGGGTCAAAACAACCACTGAGGCCTCAGGCTCATTTCACCCAAGGGCAGCAGGAGGGTTAACTGATCCTCATCAGTGGGACCACCTCAGATCTGTGTGTAACACGAACACCAAGGTGGAAAGACATCAGCAATTCCTCCGAGAAGAAGCTGTTGCTGTGCATCAATCTGGGGTCAAAGGTCGTTTTTAAACTGTCTGAAGTTCATCGCTCTACAAAGAGAAAGCTGGAGCAGACAGCTGACGATCACAGCTGATTCACCCTGAAGGCCAGACTGTGCAGTGACTCTACAAGCCTTACTCAGCAGGTCAAAGGTCATGACCTCTACGCTCTGTAAACAACATGGCAGCATGACTTATGTTTGAAAAGTTTCACCAGAAAGAACAACAAGACATCTGGACCAGAACTGGACCAGAGGACAGCTGTTTACCCAGAATGCACTGCAGCAAACACTTCACATCAGCGTGTCGCGTTGTGTTCACCGAGACGAAGAATGTCCAGATGTTTTCCTTTGCTGCACGTTTTAATCAGAAATTACATTTTCACTTAAATTCACAAAAATGCTTGTCGCCCGCTGCCTTGCAACGATCTGCGACGCTCAGCGGATTACTCTCAGCTACTACCACGCTGTCTACCACTGACCGGGTTCAGGGTCAACTCAAGTCAAGATGGCCGCCCCAGCCTGCACAAAGAAGCGGTAACTCCGTCAGTTTTACAGATGTTGAGGTGAACCCCGGCCTTTTATTGCGGGCGTTGTGACCCGTTCCCATGGGAGTTTGTTGGTTTGTGTTTGGTTTAAACGATCTGTTGCGAAGCGTTTTATTCTTTTTGTGTTCAGCCTTTAAAGTCCTCTCAGACCCAGATGTTAGAGCGGTCCCAGATGTTTGGATGGCTGGGGCAGTTGAGAATAAAGTTCTTGGTTTTTAACTCGTACATTTCAAAGTTTATTTGTTGAATCGTTCAGATAAAGAGCGACTCTGCTTCATTTCCTTTTTCCTCCTCGGTCATCTGGGACTAGAGGAAACGAGGCGGGGGTGTGGGGGGGACTCTATCTTTGGTTCCGATTGTTTCCGAAGCCTCTTTAGAGGAAGCGCTGCAGGAGAACTGACAGGTATTCATCTCTAACAGGCTCCAGTTTTGCAGATTTGGAGCTGGCTGCTGTTTGCAGCCGTGGATCAGTTTCTGTTCCCTCCTGATCAGGACTCCGAGCCGCCATGTTGATTTTTGTAAAGCTGTCATGTGAGCTGCCGTTCACGAGAACTGGAGGCACCGGTGGTCCCCCTCGGGGCCCAAAAACTGGTTTCTCCGGTCGCAGAGATGTTTGAAGTTCTTCCTTAAGAACACTAAATGACAGCTGGAGAGAAAATAGGACTTTAGCTGTTAGCTGAAAACTTCAGCTGATGGATGAGGCGTCCCTCTGGGTCTCTGCTCGGTCATTTCCTGTTTCTTTAGGACCGAACCTTCAGATCCTGTTCACCTGCTGCAGGGACGCTTCGTGCCTGACGCATCTTGTTGGCTTCCCTCAGATTGTTTAAGAGTGATTCACATCGTGCTGAAACACGCAACGTTCTAATTAGAAGTAATAAAAAAAGAAAACGTTTAAACGGTTGTTGCTCCGAGAGAAGCCTGGAGGACTGTGGGTCTGTCAGTTTAGGACAGATTTACAAAAACTGCTCGAAATAACATTTTAAAGAGATTTTGCAGCTGCTGCTCAAAACGAGAACATCATGAACGGTCTTTAAAACCTGAACGTACCGTGGAACCTTATTTTTGTAATTGTGACAGTGCCAGACTCTTACTGTGAAACTCCAGGTTCAGACCTCTTCCTGTTTCCTGCCGACCCTCTGAATCCTCCCGAACATCAAAGGTCTGATTAGACATGAAGGGTCTGTGGGGGCGGCCATGATGGAAACAGATGAGGAAGAAAAGCATGCTGGGTAATGCATAAGACTAACAAGCTGCTGGGTCAGTGGTTGTCATGGTGATACAAAGGGGAGGGGCTTCACACAGCAGCACTTCAGGCAGAAATGCAGAGTGAAAAGTAAACCTCAAACGGTCTGTGTTAAAACTAGAAATCGGGTCAAAGAACTTCTTGACCCGTGAGCAGCAGGAGGTTCTGGTGGTACCACAGGTTCTGTTTGATGGTTCTACGGGGTTTGATGTAAAATAAAAATCACTTCCAGTTTAAAGAAAAAACTCTGAGCTCAGACACAGTGGAAGTCAATGTCAGTTTGGGTGTTGACCTCTGACCTCTGAGAGGAACCATCGGTCCTACAGTAAAGACAATCTGAGGGGATGGAGACAGAAGTAGCTACAGGTGGACGGAGACGGAAGTAGCTACAGGTGGACGG